CCTGGTGGAGCCCGGAGCCCTGCGCGCGGGCTGGGGCTTCTGGGGAAGTCCGCGACGCGCCCAGGGCTGTCCCTTTCTCAGGGATGTCCCTTCCCCGAAGATGTGGGAGCCGGCCTCCCTGCCCTTTGATTTCTCTCCGCCTAGTGTCAGGGAGAGAACTAAGCACCATTCAAGTGAGAGTCGAGTGTTCCCCGGAGCGCCCAGGCCCGTGCAGCTGCGACTCTCTGGCAGCAACCTGACTCTCCTCCAACCTCCTTCCTCCTCGCCGGCTGCCACTTCCCTTGGGTGACAGCTCCCACCGCACGTGGGCCCAGCTTTTCCAATCGGTGTCTTTGCTCGGAATTATAGCTTGCCAGAGGGTCCTGTTTGTCTAGTTATTTTTTGGGGTGGGGGCGGAAGGTCCCCCTCCAAATCTTGACAGAATTATTAAATTAGATTCTTCCTCCTTCCTCTTAGCAACCTCCCTAAAGCAAGAGGCACTAGAAATTAAACTCAAACACTAGCTTCCCTGCAGTCTGCTCGGAGTGAAGGGGCGAATGAATCATTTAAGAGAGTTGATGGCAGAATAATGAACTGTGTGCCTCTAAAGAAAAAGAAGCACATGGGTCCAAGCAGTGGTAATTAGAAGAGTTTTGCTGCTTTTCTTTCATGTGCTGGAGTGACTTACTTCATTTATGTATGCAAAAAGCCATCTCCCTGGGGGTTGCAGAAATGTCCCCTATCCCTCCTCTAAAGATTGAAATCGGTAGTTTTATCATGTGAATGGTGCCATATGTTCTCATACTTCTATCTATTGAAAATTATTATTTTTTCTTTTCCTTCCTTCCTTTCCCCTTCTTTCCTTTCTATTATCCATAGGTAGAGAGAGTTCTTCTCAACGCTCATTTTAGACTCAGGCCCTTTATGATAGGGAATCTGAAGATATAATTTCAACTGCTGACAAGTTGAAGCTTAATACTACTTTGCAATTTTATTTTCTATTTTCTTTTTGCTGGAAAGAGTTTTAGCTAACTGCCAATTTCTTTTCCTTTCTTCCTTCCTTCCTTCTTCCCTCCCTCCCTTCCTTCCTTCCATTCTTTCTTTCTTTTCTTTCTTTCTTCCTTTCTTTCCTTTTCTTTCCTTCTTTCTTTTTTCATGTCATCAAAGACCACAGTGCAGGATTCTGGATGTTGGTACTTAGTGAAAAGGTGTATGTGTCACCTCCCTCCAATTTGTCACTACTATTAATGGCTCATGGAGTACACAAAGTGTATAAGAAAGGCAATAACTTCTGAATGAAAATTTAGTAGTTTGTCACTGTTTAAAAATATTCCAAAATATTTGAGCATTGGATAATGCATGCATAAACATGCTGATTTGATCAAGTTTTTCAACGTTCATATGAAGATCTGATGTTCTAGGCATCCACTAGTAAGTTGAAAATGAAATGTCTCCTTTCTTAAGGCTTGAAACCTACTATAATTTATGGTGAGCTACAGTGGAGCAGTATAAATTTCTGATTAAAGAGCTAATCTACTTAAAATTGTTTACTTGGTGTTTTAGAAACTATCACCTAGAAGAGGAAGTGCCTGTTGGTGTTACAGGGACTGTCCCACCACCAAGTCTAACTGCTTTCTGAATAACGTTTACCCCAGATGCCTCAACTTGGCTCTGACTTATCATTAGCACATGTTATCTTTATGAATAAGCTTCACCATCAGGAAACTCAGGAAATTTACTTAATACGAGGACTGGGAAAATGGTTAGAAAAAAATAAACTGCCAATTGTACACATATATGGGATGGTAGACTCCTTAGGAAAAACCTAAGGAATTTGAAGTTGATTTTTTTTTTTTTTAAAAAAGTGTGGTATTATATTTTACAGTACATTTTGGAGAACAAATTAAATCAATTACATTTTACTAAGACTCTCACTCTGATACCTAGTGGTTTGATTAGCTTGAAAATCACAGAATTAAAATATTTTGAGAAAACTTAAAATTCTTACTTTTGCTTGTTTTTCAGTAGTTGTGTGTGTTAAATTTTCTGTAGATGGCAGTGTTGGTGAGGTGCCTGCTTACTCCATTTGGTTGAGAATTTGAGAAATATTATCAGTTCAAGATCAAAGGTTTTTTAAAAACCTAAAACATAAAACAATTAGTGTTACAGATATAATTACTATGAATCTGTAAAGCCAGAGAATGCAACAGAATTATAGGTACTGCCTGAGTGACAAAAGTCCTCTTCCTTCCTTCACTAGTGATAAAGTTGAAACAGTAGGTTTCAAGTCTTTACTCCGTCTTGGGTTAACTCTGCCTGAGTCTAAAGCTGAAACATTTAACTTATTAAATAACAAGTTGCCATTAAAATGCTAAGAGAACAATGAATGACCCAGGTGTTTTGTGGTATGGCTGTGGTTAGTTCCAGGATGTAGACAATCCCCACTAGATTAAGAAAATTTCTGAGTAGTTATTCCTTTATTATAATTATCTTTTTTAAGCTGGCGACTCCTAAATTCAAGAACATTGGACACATAAATGTTAGGGCAACACACCCTGTGGCTGTGTTTGGGAATTTCAAGGAGCTAAAGTCCCAAGGCTATAACCACTGGAACTCCTGGATGATGCTGGCAGCAATGATCTACACGTAGCCATTTAAACCAGGGCAGAGGTGGTAGCTTTTTTTTTTTTTTTTTTTTTATGATGTGAGTGAGGGGTGGGAATGGGAGTGAGGAGGGTTACTTAAGAGTGTCGGACAAACTAATTAATATGTTCTAAATTTACATTTCAAAATAGTGCTTCCTTTATAGCGTTTGTCAAAAAGTTTATAAAAATCATGATACACCAACAAATTCATTTTTTCCTAAAAATATGAATTGGGCATGATTCTATTCAGGGCTCCATATCCTAGAGAGTGGTTGGTCCTTTGCCCAGTGATTTGAGAAATTGACATTTTAATGGCTTTTCCAAGGGAGAAGGGAACCTGTGTCTGGTCCAGACTCTGTCCAGTGGTTTGGCACAAGGACAGGATTTGGCCTGGCCTGCTTTGTGGTGGAGATTTAGCCTCGTGCATCCAAACCCATGTCCTGTTTTCAATTTTACTTCCCACCTTTTGTTTCTGTCTGCTGTATGAGATTAAAAGAATGTTTGTAATTAAAAGAACTAGATGTAGTCTCATATACAAATATTCAAGAAAACCTAATGAAAGATAATTAGGACAAAAGAAGAAGAGTATGTTAAATTATTTTGCAATCAATTTTTTAAAATTTCCTTTCCACTTAACTGTAGCTTCTTTCAATCTGACAACCTGATCCACAATTTAAAAAATGCATTTATATGACAATCTTATTGAAGCATATTATATAGGATCCCTTGCTATATGCATTATTCCTCAGGAACCAAACAGATTTAGATAGTGAGACATATGTGTGCACAAAATGAAAACAGTGTGTGTGTGTGTGTTTAAACTGGAAACATGTTTCATAATGCAATGTTTATTCTTATTAGCAAAATGTACTCTAATATTTCCTATTTTATGCTGTTTGATTTTATTCTATTTAATTAAAAAATATTGGTTGAATCATGTGATTTCACATCCCATTAATGGGGTGACTCAGTTTGAAAAGTGATGTTTTAGTTCATAAATCAGAGTATGCCAGATTAAAGTATGAGGCAGAGTCCTTTTGAAAAAATGCCCTGCAGACCAATTGGTAACACTGAATGGTCTCCATTGGCGCAGCTCTGTAGAGAAAAGTACTCCTCGTTTGCCACCAAGTCATTATTCGGTTTCCCCTTTTAAACATTTTAGTAAAGCTCCCGTGTCTTCCCAAGATCTGCTGGGTGCACTGCTCTGGAATGGCTAAAGAGGGCAGGAGGCTAGACCAGGACATGTTCACTGTAGAGTAGAGGAATTCGGAGGCCTGAGCAGTGGTGTATTCCACTTGGTAACACAGAACTCTGGCCCCAGGCAATAACCACCAAATGCTTCCTGTAAGGAAACATGAAAAGTGTGAGTTTTCTAGTGGAAAGGATCCAGCCAGTGCTCCTGGCTGGTGAGGAATCAGATGCTCTCTTTTCCCTTTCCCTTTCCCCTTTGCCAGTACTCCTCATGCCCTTAGTTCCCCTCCCCGTCGCTCCCCGACACTGTCTTTTAGGGCCTCACGGGCTCTCCAAGGTATATGCTGGTGGCTACAGATCGCCTGCCACCCACACTACACTTAGTATCTTAAGCTCTTTTGGGTATGGTATGTTTTTTTGTCTGACTAGGAATTAAAAATACAACTGTTTGCTCCCTCTTTTGTTCTCTGCGCATCTGATTCTTTTCTCAGGCTGTTGACTCAGGAGCAACGTGGGATTGCAAGTAGGAGAATAGAAACTGGGGCTGCGCAGGCTCTTTCCGGGAACACTGGACTGCAAGCTTCTAGAAGGCAGTCTGTGGATTTGACTGGTTTACTATTGTGTGCTCATCACCTGGCACGGTGCTCAGGACTCAGCAGGTGCTTAACGAATGGTTTTAAAGAGAGAGAATGAATGATAACGTAATGGGCCAGGCACGGTGGGCATGCCCCCTTCCTCTTCTTTGAGATTTGGTCTCCATTGGTCCTGACGTGATGCTTTCAGTCCCAGTGACCCCAGGGAA